CAGTAAATCATTTCTTCAAAACTAAAACTAAGCTCTATAAAGCACTTAAGAGGTGGGATACGAGTTAGTCTTTTGTTTTCCCTCAGATTTCTCCTGACCTTTCTTCCCCAAACTTGATGCTGAGTTGTCATTTCTTCCACCCCCACATCCTCTACCGTCTTACACCTATTTCTTTTCTTCACACACATCCATCTTGCTTTCCTCCTCCCAGACACCCTCTGCACTCACCAGCATGGTTTCAACCCCCCCTCAGCACCGTCGTTACTCTTCCACACTCTCTCACTTAGCAGTTCACCACTTTTTTTTTCTGCAACAAGAGTCACAAAACATCAAGTTCAGCTGCCCACACATAATGCACTGGGGCCCAGCTCTGTTGATCTCAATGTGTTCAACAGGCTGCTCCTCCTCTGCTGAGAGAGGACAAGACTTTCTGCAATGCTGCTGTTCCTGGAGCAAGCTTGGAGCAAGCCCTGCCTCTGCCTTCCTCACCAGGAAGAGATTCATAGGTTGGGGCCTCTTGCTGATCAGCAGAGCAAAAGATGGGCTTTCAGGGACTTTTGTGTTAATTTGTTAGTTTACAAGAGAGTGGATGCCCCCATGCACCACAACTGAGCCCCGGCTGACTGCTGGAAGTACCTGGGCAGCTGTTGTGTTCCCTGTGGGACAGCACGTCCCAGGAGAGAGGGGCCAGCGCCCAGGTGCTGGGTTGGCACAGCACAGTTGCACAGGCTCCAAAGGGGCCACTCTGGATTCAGACTCTGAGCAGGGAGAGCACGCTCGGGCCGCAGTCTGACCTTTAACCTTTCAGCTGGGAATGGAGCTGTGCTGGAGCAAGTCTCCCTGGGATAAGAATAGCATCTGCTGTCTTGGGACACAGCACAGTTGTCCAGCTCCTGCACGGCAGCACATGGCACTGAGGCACAGAAGGCAGCCTACCCTCCCAGGAATGTCTCAGGCACTATTAGTGGAAGTGAATCATGCCCACAGACAGGCACGACCCTGAGCAGGAGTCTTAGGAGAGCAGGGCTATTTTGGGCCTTTGACATTGAGGATGAAAGGAGACACGTGATGGGCTGATCCTGTTGGCATGGGCAACCTCCAAAGCCCTCTGCAGCCTTGTCTCCTCCACTAGGAATGTCTCTTTTGAAGGCTGAGGGGTGATTTGGTGGGACCTGGGAGCCCAGGAGGTGCGGGTAGAGGGAGCTGTGAGTTTGAAGGGCATGCAGGGCCACCTGTGCCCAGCCCTCAGTGCCACCAGCACATCATGCTTACGGCAGGCCCTGTCTGAGGGTGTGCACCTGCCCCTGAGCTTAGGGCACACAGCTGCCCGCTTTATTTTCATCCACATCCATGAGAGTTAGAGAGATACCAGAGGGGATGCATTGAAACACAAATCTTTTGCAACCAGGAGGATATTTACCTCTTTCCACCTGAAGCTCTCCATCTCTGGGTGGTTCTTCAGCATCAGAAATGTTTGAGAGGCCCCTTTTCCTCTTCCCAGCCATCACAAATTCCCTCCTCAACTTATTCCCATCCATTTAACATCCTCTTTCTTTTTCTAGTATGAATTTCTTTTGTTCCACTTTTTTATGTCTCATTTATTTGTTTCATTTTCATTGCTTTGTGAAAAGTTGCACATTAAGCTGTTTGGGGAATAATCCCCATTTTCCCTGAAGAGTTTTCCATCTGGATCAACAAGCCAAATCAGTCTCCATTTTGCCCCCACATTCAGCTGGAGACACAGCAGCAGTGTTAGCAGACAGGAACAAGTGGTCAGGGAATTGAGTGTGTGTTGGGTAGCTTATAAAGTGCTGCCACTAAATGCAATCCCACAGCCCTGGGGATTGATCTCATGGTAGCTTCTGGAAAAAGGATACTTGGTATGGTCATTCTAAGCCATTCCCAAGCACATCCAGCGCTCCTGCAGATGAAGACTCCATTGGTTCAGTTGGCAGACAAGAGACACAACTCCTTATCCATGGGCAAGTTATTTTTTCCAGCAGCCTAAAAAGTTAAACTGCCTCCTGCTACAACCCCCCCAGTCTGGCTTTGCCAGCACCTCTGTGCTCACTGGGCACCCCCTGTGTCTCTCAGAACACAGTACAATGGCTGTGGGTGCTGTGCACAGTCCCCCCTTGGCTGCTCACTGAAAGGTCAGGCTGGTTATAAAGGTTTCTCCCCTACCCCATTTGGTGCCATGTGATGTGGTTCAGGTTCCTGCAGAGCACCTTGCCAGGTGGAGACTCAGCCAGGGCCTTAGCACCTGGTCCCTGCTGTGGCAGGCCCTGGGATGGGTTGTGTGCTTCTCTGAGGGTCTCCAGCAGTGGAATGTTCACACTCGTGCTGCTCTGAACCATCAGCACTGGCTAAGCTCCCTCGCAGTACCTCGAGCTGTGGAGGTTTGTGCCCGTGGCCAGGCATTTCTTCCAATTTTCTTATCGCGCGCCATTGGTACAGTTCAAAGTGCACCACAGGCTTCCCACAGAGCTGCACTGCTGCCAGCAGGCCTGAGCCCAGATCTCCAGTACTGCTCTCAGGATCCTCAACTCCAAACCAGCCAGACCCACACACATGGCACGTTATGCCAACGCAGGCACCATGGTCTCTGTTTACAGTCAGCCTGGGGGCTCAAGGTGCAGTTGGGAGAGCCAGGCTCTGGCACTGCCATCCAGCCAACCCCAACATGAGTCAGAGCCCACACTTTAACCCCTTTATGAAATGGGGGAGAGCTGCACTGCTAGCAGAAAGGAGCTGGTGTAGTGAGGGTAGGAATTATCCTGCTAAAGTCACATCCCTGCAGAGCCTTGCAGGGATTGCTGGGGCTGCTGTGCTCTGCCCACTCTGCTTGAGCAGGTGGGGTTTGGGTCTCAGAGGACCAGGGATGGTATAGCTGGGGCAAGAGCAAAACAGCAAACTTAGTACCAAAAGCAGGAAAGAGGGTTGGGATTACATGATAATGCCATGCTGATGCCTGGACACTCTGAAATGAGTAATGCCAGTCTGATTAGGGTTGCTAGACTTACCTAGCAGTTAGTAATTTCCCATTGGTTTTGCATGGCTGCTCCTAAGCAAATTACAACTGTTTTTCTACAGGTTTATGAAGTAGATTATTGCACTGGGTAACCAGGCATTTGACATGGTGGAGTAGGATCAGTGACATGGCCTAAGAGCAAAGCAGGACTTGGGATTCCATCCTGAAGCACAGCACTGTGCCATGAGCTGCTGAAAACAAGGTGCAGGAATTCCCCTGGGAAAGAGCTGCTTCCAGGCAACAGGAACTGAAACAGAAGTCATCCCATGGGAAAGAAAAAGAGCAACACACCTAGATATGTCCCAATGGGTGTGAAAACTAACATTCAATTCTGATTCCCCAAAATCACAAGCCCATAATAGTGGAGGGAGGCCTGTCTTGAAAGGATCATGGTGTGGGGACAGTTTTTGGGGAAACTATGGCTAGACTGACTGATAAGGTTTATTGAAGTTCCAGATTTCTCAGACAAACTGAAGATCTTGCATCTTATCAATGCAGTATTTCATTAGGTTATTTTCTGGGAAGTAATAGGAAAAGTTGGGCCATTGCATAATAATCATTATTAAATGCTCTCAAGGAAATGTAAAAAAATCAATTGTAACTAGGGCATTAGTTCACAGATCTCTGGAGAACAAGGTAAGAGGGGAAAACAGTAACCCCAAACGCTGCTCAGCCTGGCAATAGGGCCATCCTGGCTCTTTGCCAATGAGCATGAGTGCACTGGGTGAAGAGGAATGAAAAAAAATGTGTCTGACAGGGACCCATGGTGAAACCTTCAAAGGTGTCATGGGAGGGACAGGTGTATGCTGATTTTATTAACCTTTTTGTAGTTGAAAACTGAGAAAGATGTGACATCCATCACTCTTTTTCAGACAGGAGTGACAGAACATCTTGGGTTTCTCCTCTCCCATCCTTGTTACTCGTTAGCAGAAGCAGGCCAGACTCCTTCCTGAGCACTGCCTGGCTGTGTCCTCGAGACAGATAAGGAGACCCATTTTGATATACCTTTCCTAGGCACACAGATGTGAAGCACTCACCTAGAACTTCCCAACAGTGCCAGCATCCTATTTGACACAGTGCCTGGTGCTATGCACAAATTAATTCAACTTCTCAGAGCACTGGAATGTCTGCCCAAAGGTATCCCGTTCACTCTCCAGCCCTTCCAGGGATGTCTTCTCAGCAGTCTGCTGGGTTTTCTCCCTACCTGAAATCCTGCAGTTTCAACTATACCATACGTTCACCACAAAGGAGCTGAACGCATCTTTGTCCTTGGGAAACACCAAGCAGAATTATGGTGCCCAGTGCCACTGGGGAGATGAGCTTCAGGCAGCTACTCAGACCTTGCTGCTGACACTGCAGAGCATTTGATAACCATTTCCATGGGAACAAGCACATAAGACAGTTCAAGTCCTGCTCTGCTTGGAGCTGCAACACTTGGTAGGTCAGAATTGGGCCAACTTTCTGACAGGTGGTTTGGCTATAAGGAGATTCTAAGCACTCAGTTTGCAATGCACACAGATGACTGTGGGCTCACAGGCTGCACCAGTCTCATTCTCCCATGCAGAAGTACAGCACTGTAACTAAGCACGAGCACTGTAATTTTGTTCACATTGCATGTTTGATATACCACATCTGTTTCTACAGTACTTTATTTTCAGCTTCATTTAACAAGGTCGGGATACCTGCTTCCAAACAGAAGGTGAGGAGGAAACCTGTCAAAAATCTAAGTTTTAAATTCAGGATAAAATTGGTCAAACTGATCATAGCAGCAGTAAGACTTGAACACACAGTTTTGACTATGCTAAGCTTAGCAACAAAATGACTCTCATTTGAGCATCCACATTTGGAGCATCTGAAGTTGCAGGTATCTATTTTATTGAGACTGGTACAGCAGCAGTGACAGAAAATGTTTGTGTTCATAAACAAATAGAAGATTACTTCCTATAAGTGTAGCTCTAGCTACTGCAAATCCACAGCTGGAAAGATACTTTGTGGAAGTTCTGGTTATCCCAGAGGAAGCTCATTTTTCAGTTCCTAACACCACCTGGAAAGGAGAGGCTTCGTTCAGTCTACACGTGTCCAGATGAGTCTTTTGATCCCTGAAATCATCCATCCCAATGCAACATCCAGGTAGGATGTGCAAGTGGAACCCAGGCCAAGGCAGTGGTGTCTGCAACCCTTAAGACCACACATCACCACCGGTCATGCTGTTGGACTGAGGGGTTCAAATGCACAAACACATCTGTTGGCTTTCCTGAAGCGCTACTTTCATGTTGCATTCCTTAAACAACCCCCACCCTCTGGGATAAGGAGTACACCAGCACTTCCAAATGTAAAGCATGGAAGGGCTTAAAAGATTTAGGCATCACAATGATTAATTTTTAGGCCTACCAGAACTTGTGCCACGTACTTATGCTCAGTATATACTGCACAGTATCAGGTACCTCAAAGGAGGATCTAAACCTGCAGCAGATTGCAGAGAGTGGCCCATAGTCTGCTCAATCTGCCTTTACCTAAGCATATCCAATAGGAGATACCTGAAATCTTGCCACTGTCTGGGCTTCCAATTCAATCAGAGATTGAACATTCCCTCTATAAAGTAGTCTCATGTCTAGAGACACCTGGAAGAACCTAGACTGAACCTTCCTAGTGTGTCCCCCGATTCTTGGCAAGATATCCTGGCAAGCACTGAGGAGTCAAAGCCTTTTCCTGGTGCAGAGCATTAGGAGACAGTGAAAGCTGCAGACCAGTGAAAGCTGGCAGAACTAAAAGTGTCTGTTGAGTCCCAGGCCAGATCCTTTAGGAGAAAACATCTCTTCCAGAGTGAAAATGCTGCAGAAAGCAGTCTGGAGCTGAGGTTCTCCATTTCCTGGATATGTGCTCTAGGCCCTAGTAGTTTTTCCAAGACATGCACTGGGGTTTTTTACCTCCAGCCACAAACTACGCTAAACTAGTGCAGTCAAAAGATCACACTAGGAAAGGTAGCTCCAGATCTTGTGCCAGTCTTGGGTTGGAGATAGACAACTGCCTGGGAAGTTCAGCTACAGACACAAAGCTGCTGCTCTTTTCTCAGTCAGAATGCTAATTCTGCCTAAGGCTCACAGAAGGGATGTTTTAGGAATGTTCAGTTAGGTTGACTCGCATTGTTTTCACTTAATGAAGCAGCTCTTTAAATCTGAAACTAATCTGATGAAATCGGTCACAAAGCAATGCTCAGCACCAGAGCCTGAAATGCCAGAGGCAGAGAATCATAGTTCACAGAATGTTGTGAGCTGGAAGGGACCTTCAAAGATCACCTGTTCCAAAACTCCTGACATGGCCAGGGACATCTTTCACTAGACCAGGTTGCTCAGAGCCCCATCCAACCCGAGCCTGAACATTTCCAGTGATGGGGATCCACAACATCTCTGGGTAACCTGTGCCAGGGCCTCTCCACTCTCATGATGAAATATTTCTTCCTTATGTTCAATTTATTTAATTAAACATACCCTATTTCAGTTTAAAACCATCATCCCATGCCCTGCCACTAAAAGCTCTCCTAAAAAGTCTTTCACTGTCTTTCTCATATATCTCTTTTATATACTGAAAGGCCAGAATAAGGTCTCCTCAGAGCTTTGTCTTCTCCAGGCAGAACAACCCCAACCCTCTCAGCTTTCCTTCAAAAGTCCCTCCCTTCCAGAGCTGTCCTGTTGAATGATGGCTGTACCACTGGCAAGGCACAAACCTGCTGCTCAACTTGCTTGAGCAAACAGCACAACTGCACACCTGCCTCCTGCTGTGAAGCCTTACCTTTGTAGCAGGGCCTTCTCGGGCTTTGGCTCTGAGCTTGTTTACTTGGCTCTCAGCAATAGCTACCCTTTCCTCAGCCTCATCTATCTTATGCTGTGCTTTTCTCAATTTGGAGAGATTAATATTGGCTTGTTCATCCTGAAATTGCAAAACAAAAAAGAAATTAAAAACCATCTGGCAACATGCTGAGGTACAGAGCCAACTTTTAAACTGACGGTACTATGAACTGGTAAATAAGTATTTGCTTCAGTTTAGTGACTCACAGCTTCCTCAGCTTGTCTTTTGTAGGATTTGATTTTCATCTGCAGTTTATCTACCAGATCTTGTAACCTCATCATGTTCTTCCTGTGTTCTTCATTCTGAGTAAAGAGAATATGCAATTACATGTCCTTGGGAGAAAAAACATCAGGAGAATTGCTTTCTATTTTTACCCACCTGGAGAGTGAGCTCTTTGACATGCCGCTCATATTTGCAGATGTTTTTTGTAGCCTCTGCAGATTGTTTATGTTCTTCTTCCAGCTCAGCTTCTAATTCTTGGATCTGGTGAATTAATCAACAATTACCTTAAGCAGGACTCACATAGGACTTGAAGAAGAAAGGTGTCTCTGACTCCCATGTTCAGTTGTGGTACTCACCCTGGCCTCCAGCTTCTGGATTTGCTTCTTGCCTCCCTTCAGGGCCAACTGCTCGGCCTCATCCAGACGGTGCTGCAGGTCCTTCACCGTCTGGTCCAGGTTCTTCTTCATCCTCTCCAGGTGGGCACTGGTGTCCTGCTCCTTCTTCAGCTTTTCTGCCATCATGGCTGCCTTGGAAGGAAGATGACACAAGAAACCAGAGGAATGTGAAGGAACAGTGCATGCTGTGCACCAGTGGAACATTTACTCCTGTTTCCTGATGACCATTCCTGCCACCCCATTTCCTGCTTCATTTTTTTTCCGTGACATGATAGTGGTGGAAATATGACAGGAAATAGTAGGAAAAAGGATGGGACAAGACTGTCTTGCTGCACACGCAGAGCTGGAATGACAGAAAGGGTAAATGCTCTTTCCCACTGTATGGTCACACTGTGACCTCCACTGACAGCAAAGTGCCCCAGAATCATAGAATCAAAGAATATTCCAAGTTGGAAGGGACCCACAAGGATCATCCAGTCCAACTCCTGGCCCTCCAGATACCCCAACAATCCCACCCTGTCCCTGCGAGTGTTGTCCAAACCCTCCTGGAGCTCTGGCAGCCTTGGGGCTGTGCCCACTGCCCTGGGGAGCCTGGGCAGTGCCCAACCAGCCTCTGGGGGAAGAACCTTCTCCTGAGATCCAACCTGACCCTGCCCTGACTCAGTTTCATGGATTGGGAAGAACAGGAACCAGAGAACCTGAAGGGTGGCTTTTTCCATTTTTGAGACACAATTACTTTGGAGGAAGAAACCAATTCTCTTCACCTCAGCAGGAGAGTATTGGGTTCTTTAATTCTGAAGACAAAAGAAGCTACATGTGAATCCTCCTGAAAGCAAGAAACAGCACTGGGAGTTAGGAATTGCTGTCCAGATGTCCGTAGGGAAGGTCAAGGAAAGTCCTTGGCCACCAAGCCAGGAGGCATCTCCTGACACAGAAGTTTGGGATTTCCCAAGTGCACAGAAAAGAGGTCCACAGGGCAGGGACTCACTGATGTCTCAGGTGGGATTAGCAGAGCAAACCTGGACTCATTTAAGCAAAATGTTCCTCAAAATGCCAACAGAAATGAGGAAAGTGTCTGATTCCTTCTCCTGCACACAGGGCACAGCCGGAGCCACAGCAGAGCCTGGGAACAGGCTCTTGTGCTCAACACCTGGAGTGTGGTGGGTGCTGTGCTGTAGTGAGTGCCCCGCTATTGCCACAACAGCCTGGAGGGCTACTGCCACAAGGCATAAAGTAGTTTAAAAGAATCTATGCTATTTTAGACAAACTAAGATTTAGCTCTCAAACATTGGACTCCTACACAATAAAATGAAGATTTTGGTGAAATATTGAGTGACATCACTTACAAAAAATGTAAAATTCAAGAAGTTGCTTTGGCAGCAAAATATCTGAAAAAGTGTATATTGAAAAATAAGAATAAAATAATGGCACTAGATATTTTATATATATATATGTGTATGTGTGTGTGTATAATGTATTGTAATGTTCCATTTCTCTTTCATTCAAACAGAATAGAAATTATTATAAGATAAGAAGTTCCATATCAAAATGAGGAAGAACTTCTTTCCATGGAGGATGGAGAGCACTGGAACAGTTGCCCAGGGAAGGTGTGGAGTCTCCCTCTCTGGAGACATTCCACACCCACATGGATGCATTCCTGTGTCACCTGCTCCAGGTGACCCTGCTTTTGGACTGGATGATCTCCAGAGGTCCTTTCCAATTCTAATGATTCTGTGATTTTATTTAATTTTTTTTTCATTTTCATGAGCAAGTGGAAAATTTTTCTTTCTATTTTAACTCCAAATAATGCATTTAAGTGTTAAGATTTTGGTTTGCTCCTCTGCATCAAAAATGATTAACAGGTTGAGTTCCATGACATACCAGCCCTATGGCCGGGCTGAGCTTCACAGGCCTTGTATGGGAGGATTTAGCACCAATTTTGAATGGACATTTACAATTCTCATTTAAAAAGTTGTTAAATAGGATTTTGCAAAGGCAACTATTCAAATACATTAGCCACTGAAGTGGTTTTAATACTGCAGGATTTCTTTGTGGATTACATTTTCATGCAGCACTGAAGAAAGTTATTTGTTTACAACCAACTAAATGTGGGTTTAGTTCATAAATGAAGGCAACAGCCCCAATAACTCATCTCTCAGCAGGATATGGTCCCTGTTGTTCTAATCCTCTTCTGACAAGTAGCCTTTTCAACCATGCCCACAGACTGGTTCTTGTACAACACGTGACAGGAGTATTTACATTAACTCCCAGCAGCAATGCTTCTGGAAACCCTGAAAATTCGAAGGAAAAAACACAGTAACATCCTCACATCTGTCATTGCCTTCTTTGCTCTTTCTTCAGCACTTTTTGATTCATTAGTAACATCCTCTATCTCTCTTTGGATTTGTGCCATATCAGTTTCAAGCTTCTTCTTTGTATTAGAAAGGCTGGTGTTCTACAAAGGAGAAAGAGACAGGCTTTGAGTGCCTGTTTTTGGTCTCTTACACACACAGACCATGAATTACTATTCATTCTTACTCCATGAACCTCTGGACCCCAAAATACGTCAGTCTTAGCAAAGGAAACTACCTGGGTATGGAGGAGCTGCGCACGTTCGGTGGCATCCAGGAGCTCCTGCTCAGCCACTTTCCTCGACCGCTCCGTCTGCTCCAGGGCTGCCCGTAGCTCCTCAATTTCAGCCTGCAGCAGGTTTGCTCTGCGCTCCACCATGGCCACCTGCTCCTTCAGGTCATCCTGGGTCCTGAGAGCATCGTCCAAGTGTAGCTGGGTGTCCTAAATTTGAAGAGTCAGTTTTGTCCTAACGAACTTCTCGAATACTGTGCTTAAAAATAAATCAACCACAAGGTAAACAAAGACCTTGAGAGCTCCCTGGATGCTGTGCAGGTGTTTCTGTGTCTCTGCAGCCACACGGTTGGCATGGCTGAGCTGGATCTCCATTTCATTCAGGTCTCCCTCCATCTTCTTCCTCAGCCTTAAAGATTCACTTCTGCTCCTGATCTCAGCATCCAGAACACCCTGCATTGTCTCCACAGTCCTTTCGTGGTTCTTTTTTAACTGGTTGATCTCCTCATCCTTGTCAGCAATCTTTCTGTTGATCTCTGTCTTAATCTGAGTCAGTTCTTGGTTGACAGCAAGGATTTTGACCTCTTCATGCTCAAGAGCTGCCTTTAAAAGAAAAAGGATAAAAACAAAGATGAAGGTAACATTTCAGAGAACATGATCAGTGACTTCACAGAAAATCCAGAAGTTTGTGGCAATCAATATTGCACACAGGCGGTGCCAGGAAAGAGAACAAGAAGCTGCTTGGCATGCTCTATACTTTTTCCAGTAATATTTAAACTAACTCACCTCTGCCTCCTCCAGAGCTAATCGCAGCCCATTTTTTTCTACTTCGACTTGCTTTTTGGCTTTCTCAAGGTCTCTGATCATTTTGCCATTTGCAGTAATTTGCTCTGTCAGATCAGCTACTTCCTCTGTGAGAGAAGAATGACATCAACCAGAGGAGCTGAACTCTATGCTCTGTGGCAGCGTTCAGCACCTCTCTTGCATGTATAAATATGTATACACATACATACCTGTGTACACAGTGGTATATGTGCCTGCAAATATGTACAGATAAAAAGAGACACAGCCAAGTCATGCAGGACAAGTGGGGCATTAGTGTGGTTTCACAGCCCTCCTTACAGGGAGCCTGGAAGAGCCCTGCATGTGTTATGTCTCTGGATAGGCCATCAGTGTCCTACAGGTCCTGTCATTGCATTCAGTGCATCTGTAAATCTCAGTTTCACAAGCTGTTACAGCCTCCTGAGGTCATCACCTTCACCTGGGAATGGCACCTTGATGTCTCTGCAGCAGATACTAGAGAGCCAGGACATTTGATTTATTAGCTTTGTCACTTTACAAACCTGCTTGACAACTTTTGGTGAGACATTGACACTCTCCATTAAGATGGAGAGCACAGTAATGACAGAGTCCTGTCACTCAGTACACCTCCTGCAGACATGAGTGTGCTCATAGAGGGCCTTGTTGTGGTAAGATTGTGAGCAGCTAATCACAGAATCACAGAATGTGCTGAGTTGGAAGGGACCCACAAGGATCATCCAGTCCAACCCTCAGCCCTGCACAGGCCCATCCCCAAGAGTCACCCCCTGTGCCCCAGAGGATCAGCCAAACCCTCCTGGAGCTCTGGCAGCCTTGGGGCTGTGCCCACTGCCCTGGGGAGCCTGATCCAGCAGCCAATGGGAAACCAGAGCCAAACACATACGCTTGAGAGTGTTGTTCTCCCGTTTGATTGTTTCAAGCTGATCTAAGGTTTCCTTGTAGGCATTTTTCACTTTGAAGAGCTCTGTGTCCAGCGAGCACGATTCTTTAGAGAGAGCTTCCCGCTCCAGCTGGCTTTCCTCATACTTCCCCTTCCATTCTGCCATGACCTGAAAGAGATCATAGGATCGTAGAATGGCTTGGGTTGGAAGAGATCATCTAGTTCCAACTCCCCTGCCATGGGCAGGGACACCTTCCCCTAGACCAGGTTGCCCAGAGCCTCATCCAAGCTGGCCTTCAACACTTCAAGGGACGGAGCAGCCACAACTTCTCTGGGAAACCTGTGTCAGTGCCCTCATAGGGAATTAGCCATCTAACCCTGCCCTCTGTCAGTTTGAAGCCATTGCCCCTTGTCCTGTCACTCCAGGCCATTGTAAATAGTCTCTCTCCATCTTTCTTGTCAGCTCCCTTCAGGTACTGGAAGGCTCCAATTAGGTCACCCTGAAGCCTTCTCTTCTCCAGGGTAAACAATCCCAAGTCTCTCAGCCTTTCCTCATAGGAGAGGCTTCCTCATAGGAGAGGCTATTATGTTTTATTTCCTGCTAGTACTGAAAATATTATTTTATCTGGGGCTACACTTAAAAGATACTGTGCTCACTTATCACCTTATCAAAGTTCTGCTGTTTCCTGTCCAAGGCAGCTGCTGATGTGTTTGCTCTCTCTACGTCCAATGTCAGATCCTCCACCTCCCCCTGCAACTTCAAATTCATCTTCTCCAAGGAGGCACACTTGGAATTCACAGTCCCCGCCTGCTCTCCTGCTTTCTGGAGATGCTGAGTGAGTTTTTTCCTTAAGGAGTATAAATAAAACATGCATATGATTGAAAAAAATCATTGCAATATGTAGGTAATTTTAATTAAGAGTATTGCAAACCCCACTAAAATAATTCAGGTTGGGCTACTAGAAGTAGATCTATGTCCTGCACAATATATGTAACATCTGGACAGCTCATCCCACTCCCCACGTACTTGGCCTCCTCGAGCTCCTCCGTGCGCTGAATCGCGTCCGTCTCGTATTTGGTTCTCCACTGGGCCACTTCGCTGTTGGCCTTGGACAGGGCGCGCTGCAGCTCCCCCTTGGCTTCCTGCTCCTCCTCATATTGTTCCCGGAGCAAGTCACAGTCGTGGCGAGCGGACTGCAGGGCGTGGGCCAGGGCGTTCTTGGCCTAAACATTACCCATAATATTATGTATTTGTGCTGGCTGTGACCAGCAGGCAACCCCATGACCCTGCACACCTCAAATATGGTCACTGCAGCTTGGGCAGAGGGCAAAGAGCTGGGGCTTTTCAAGTGTTCAGGCAGCTGCCTTCAGCTGCCACCAACTTTTCTCAGCTCTACGCCTAGAAAAGACCAAGACTGATGCTTCCACCTTGGCATATGCTGTAACTTTTCTTCCCTGCAGCTACAGAAGCAAAAGAAATCACATGGACTATGGTTTTAAAATTTAAAAACTTAAATCAGTCATCTGCAAAGAACTTAACACAGTGCTCACTGTACACATCCTTCTCAAGAGTAATTTTATTGTGTCAGTCTGTGGGCAATACTTACAAACTTCCAAAAGTGTTTTTTAAGTGAACCGAGACCCTGACACATTTTGAAGCCCTGCATGCATTCGGTAGCTCACACTACCTCAATCTCTTCCTCTAACTGCCTCTTGAGTTCCTCCATTTGCTGTGTAAGTGCCTGTTTGCTTCTCAACAGCTGCAGCGTTACAGTCTCTTTCTCTTTGAGTCGATGGCGTAGTTCACCTGTGACAAGAGAGGACAAGTTCTCAGTCCTGTCCAGATTAAACATCCTGTAATTTTTTTTTCCCTAAAGACAAATTTGCTTTAGAAAATTCACTTAATTGTTTCTTTTAAAGCCTAGTTTTCATTTTGAAGCAGTAGGATTTTATGCTGACAAAAAGTGCTTTAGCAGCTTCCTATAATTGGTGATACAAACACTCTGATACAAAAGGTAAACCCTAAAGTTTCACTTTATAATATTTACAATAACTGGAAAACATATATTCCAGATCACCCTCTGTCCTGTGGGCTGAAGTACACCTGTCTCGTTTCTTGGAGAGGTGCCTATAGGTCATGCCATTATCTCTAGAATTCTTGGAACTTCTTGTAGCCCTCCAATATTGTTTTTTCAGATTTTTCCTGAGCCATTTTACATTTTTTCTCAAGTTTTCAGTTTTGTTCTAAGATTCCCCTTGAGCACTATGCTCAATGACCTTACAACAAACTGGTCATAGAATCACAGAATCATCTTGCAAGCACGACCACTTTCAAAAGATAACCCAGAAGAAAATAAGAAGAAATTTGGTTATGGTCTATGTTTTCCCACATGACATCTAGAAGTGTTGTACATTCCCTTTTCCCTGAGAAGGAAAGGAGATCACATCTGATATTTATTGGAACACCTTTTCTCAATTAAGTTCCTACACTTAGTGGCCTCGAGCTGTTACTATTAGTGCTGGGCAACTCTGAACACAGCACATCCACATGTTCCTCCACGGCTCACTCACACACACACACTCTCACCCATCTCTCCCTAGTAGGGACAGCACCTGAAGGCCACTCCCAGTTCTTGGCTCAGCAGAGGATCTTACTGAGGGACCAGTCAGGAAGACTCTTGGGCTCCTGTTTTCATCAGATGGGATTTGGGATGTCTGACCCTGTAGTCAACCAGACCAAGGAGTGTTCACACTCATCACTCACGCAGTTCCAAGGAGCATGTTTGGTGCAGCAACAAGCTCCGTGATGGGAGCACAAAGCAGATGCTGCACACACAGTAACATGTGCACTCTGGGCAGTTCTAACAGGTTGCTCAAATAATTTTGGACTGTCCCAAATTCACAATTCCCCTGCATGAAGTAAGTGAGCTATGTCACATCATTCTGGGAATCATTTACCTAAGCAAATAATGCTTGCAACTGGCACATGAACTTTAAAGTGTCCCTCATGAACTCATTTCCTTTGGTTTATTACTAATGTTACCTGGGCCTGTACCGATGAACAATTAGGTCTCACTCATGGCACAGTAACTAGAGAATCTCTTCGCTACTGAAGGAAAAAAATATCCTCTCAGCACATCTTTGTGCCTTCCTTACCAGACTCTGTCTGGAGCTGGGCTTTTTGTATCACCATCTCATTCAAATTCCTCTGGTTCTCTTCAGATTTGGCTTTCATCTCACTCATCTGGTCTTCCAGGGTCTGGTACCTTTTTTCCAGATTAGCCTGAAAGAGAGTAAGAAAGTGAAACCTGTGTGTTTGTATGGCATTAAATTCCCACCAGACAGAAATATTGGCAATTCAAGTATTTAACTTGTAAAGAAACACCTTGGACTTAGTAATGGTCTTTGTGCTCCTGGCCAAGTCATCAATCTCCATCTTGAGCTCACTCTTCTCCTTCTCCAGCTTCTGCTTGACGCGCTGCAGGTTGTCGATCTGCTCCCCCAGCTCAGCTGTGCTGTCCGCGTGCTTCTTGCGCAGGGCGGCAGCCGTGGCTTCGTGCTGCAGCGTGGCCTCTTCGAGGTCCCGGCGCATCTTCTGGAATTCTGCCTCCCGCTTCTTGTTAAGTTCTGTTTGAGCAGTGGTGGCTCCTCCAGCCTCTTCAAGGCTTCCTCTGATTTGCTCAAGTTCCTGAGCCAGCTCACCACGATGCTTCTCTGCTTTTGCCCGTGTTGCTTTCTCACTCATAGTCTCCTCCTCCAGCTCTGCAACATGGGCCTGGATAACAAGGGAATAGCACATCAGGAATTAAATAGGGAACAGGTAATTCACTGCTTAGCTTAATGTGTATTAGTCACAGGAGAACACCAAGCCCCTTATTTTGGAGGTTATAAGCAAAACAAACTCCTTTCAAATTCCACTGTTTTGGCAATGTAGGCAAAGAGTTACTGACAGGAAAGGACCTATGGATCCACTCATTGTAACTTTAGGTCTCAGCTCTCTCTTGTTGTATGGGGCTTGTGTGAACAGGTTTTGGCAGTGGGGGGATGCAGGGGTGGCTTCTGTGAGAAGCTGCTTCCCCCATGTCTGATGGAGCCAATGCCAAACCATGGACAAGCATTGTTCATGTTACTGCAGTTTAAACAAGCAAACAGTAATGACGAAATAGTTACATAAAGTATCTTGCCTGCAATTCTCTGATCTTCTTCTGCAATTGAGCACCTGAATTCTGCCGTTCCACAATTTTATTTTGCTTCTGATTAAAATCAAAGTCTTTCCTGTGAAGGAAATGTTCTTTTAATAAAAAGAAAATATGTCCAGTTAAAACCAAAAAGTAAATTTGTCACATTTTTTTCCTCGTACTTCCTTAATTTTTCATCTAAATGTTGTTTATAATTCTCCAGATCCACTATGGTTTCCTGTGCAAGTTTCAAGTCTCCCTCAAGCTTTCTCTTTGCTCGTTCAAGATCCACGCACACTTTTCTTTCCAGTTCTAAAGATCCTTCAACCTGTAACAGAAACATATATAAATGCAACTGATGGAACAACTGAAGAATCTGCCCCTTCTCCTTGTGTTGAACATGCTCACATGGTTCACTTGCTGCTCCAGCTTGGTCCTGGCTTTGGTGAGGTTATTAACTTTGTCCTCCTCTATTTGCAGGTCATCCAGAGCCTGTTGCTGGGCTTCTTGCAGGGCCTTCTTCTCCTTGACTAACTTTGCAACAGTCTCATCCAAACCTGTCACTACTTCAGTCAGATTTTTCACCTATTGTAAGGCAAAGCACTTGAAGGTCACTAATAACTTTGGCCTTTACATGATCAATGAACACAGGCAATGAAGTCATTACAAGACTGCCAAAGAGTCTTATTTACTTGCATTATATGGTCAAACTATACAATATCTCTGCTTATATATCAACCCTTCAGAAGTCACAAAACAATGTTGAACTTTGATTTTATGAATTTTTGTATGATTCTGGGTTGGTTTTCGTGCCCAACAGCTGTGACCAAATTCAACACCAGGCCCATGGATCTCCTTATACTTGAACTCCTGTTAGTGTTCAAGTTGACTGAACCTTTACAGCCTATACACAGACAGAGCAACTGTTATTAAACATGCAAATAGCAGAAATAAGAAGCACCTTGTTTTCTGTGGTATGCTTTTCCTTTTCAGCCTTGAACAATGTTAACTCAAGGTCATCAAAATCTTTCTTCAGCTCAGAGCATTCATCCTCCAGTTTCCTCTTTTTGGCTGCCAGATCAGCATTTATTTCCTCTTCCTCCTCCAGCTTTTCCATTACCTCCTTTATTCTTGCTTCCAGCTGGAATTTTGCTTTGATCAGCTGGTCACATCTTTCTTCAGCATCAGCCAAATTTTCATTTTCCTTTTACAGAAAACAGAAATGTGTTTCATTGTCACGCTTTGGCACTGACACTTGCAGAAATCACCTGCTCATTAAGCGACTGGAACATGAAATAACAGAATTTGCTTTCAGCCCTTTCCTGAACACTCAGACAAAACTGATGTAATCTGAAGAGCCAAATATGGTTTAAGTTACGTACCGTCTGTACTTTCAGCTGCAGCTCCTTTTTCTCTTTCACCAGAATCACCATTTTCTCTTCTAGTTCTTTCCTCTTGGTTTCTGATTTAGCCAGTTCTTCTTTTGTTCTCTCAAACTCTTCTTTCATTGTGGCCATTTCTTTTTCAGTTTCCACACTTTTCAAGAGAGGTTTCAACTTGAAGTACAGCTTCATCCAGGGCCACTGCTTGACTTTCATGAATGCACGGATGTTGTACTGGATGCAGAAGATGGACTCTCTGAAAGCAAAGAGCTCCATCAGTACTGTGAATAAAGCCCATCTTTGAGCAATCAGACCTCGCAGAGGACACACACCTTTGGTCGAACATTCTTTTGAGCTCAAGTCTCCTGAGGTATCCCCTGCACAAAGCCTGGGTCCGTGTGATCAGCTGTCCTAAGCAATCATCTCGCATCTCTTCCAGGACACCCAGCAAACCTGCCTTGAAGAACACCTGCAGCCAAGGAACAGAGATCACTCATTGCTGGGCTCACATTTCAATGCAATGAATGATTTCTCATTGCATGGCAAAATTAAACATTTTACCTTAGTGTGTCCAAATTTGTACTGAGTGTGATCTATCTCAATGGAAGACAGCAACTTTTCACATGCCTTCTTGCTGTCAATAAACTTTCCCTCTGGAATGACACCGGCGTTCAGAAGGCGGTATCTGACAAAATAAAGGAAAAAACTTACCCATCAATATCATTTTAGTGCACAGGATGCCACAAGAACAGCTGTCAGTTTGAAGATACAGAGGAAGGCTGAGTCTGACTCACACCTCCAGCCTCAAATAGCAAAGCTGTAAGAAAAGCAGCAAATAGCAGCAGGTCAGTTCAGTAGGATCCACAGATGTGTTACAGCCCTCACTGAGACTGAGGGCTTGGATGGTCTGTTCTCTGGACCTGAGAGACTCTGCTCATGTGTGTCACAATCATTATCACTGTTGTAGGGGGACAGCTCACTGGGGTAGCTGTAAATTCAAAGAATGAATGGATTTTAGGAACAGGGGAACTGCTGCAGTTAATCTGACTGCCTGTATAACCGACACGTAGTCCTCCCAGACCCTTGTTCATTCAGCCCTCTTGTGATTAAGCTAGTATATATTTAAAAAAAAACAAAGAAAAAATTTCTGTCTTATCTGAAGCCTTCAAACCTCAGGAGTGTCCCAGGTAAACTATTCACCCTCACTGTAGGAAAGGTAATATTTCACTTCTACCTTGACAACATCCTTTTTCAGGTCACGCCTTTGGACTCTTTAAGTTTGTCTTTTAGCAAACAGCTTCCTGCTTTACATCCTCTTTGCATCTGTAGGTTCTCAACACCAAAAACAAATCACCTGTTAACGTGCAATTTCATGAGTTAAACAGAATGACAGAATGGTTTGGGCTGGAAGGGACCTTAAAAATCATCCAGTTCCACCCCCTGCCATGGGCAGGGACACCTTCCACTAGCCCAGGTTGCTCCTACATGGCCTTGAACACTTCCAAGGATGGGGTAACCACAGCTTCTTTGGGCAACCTGTGCCAGGGCCTCACCAGCAGAGTTTGATTTCAATCTCTCCCTGCACTTGAGTTCACATTTTTCCTGTAGCTCTTTTCTGAACCATATCCAGCTTCTCCTGTTCCTCCCGAAGCATGGAACCCAGAATTAGACATAATATCCAGCAGTGGACTTCCTAATCCTACACTGAAAGATTATTCCACTCCTATTGTTTTCACAAATCTGCCCACCCACATCACCCCCCCGGACATTGTTAGTGCTCCAAATACCAGTTCAGCCCTTCTCAGTGTCTTGCTCTCCAGCACACCCTGCCCAGACCTGTAAGGGGGGTGTGTGTGATTTCTTTGTTCTTAGAGATCTGACTCTACATTTGCCTTTGTTCAAACACAACGAGCAGACCACCCCAGCTGGGTTGCCCTGAATTTAGCAACCATTTATAAATGTCTCATTTGCACAGCAGTTCCCAAGTTAAGATTGTTTGGTCATGGGGTTTTTACTTATAAATTAATGTGCTAATGCTGTAGAAATGTCAGCATGTAGAAATGTTAGCTCAGTACAAAATGAGAGGGCCATGTGGAACTAGCTTAGATGTCCTGCTCAAGTCCCTTTTGTTACTGCAGCCCTATTTGCCAGTCAAACTTGGCATTTCATCAAAAAGTGGTATTTGGTTTAACACAATTTTCTCTCAGTGAAACCACTCTAGTAAGAATTAATTAAACCACATTCTTCAAACCTCTACTAGATAGTGGTTAAATACAGGATGTGCATAGACCACCCTCTGTATTTTTCCTGAAACAAGCTTGTGTCAAATTTGAGAATTAAAGCAAAGAATACGAATACCCAAACATTCAGATGAACATGAATGAACTTGAAAATAGGTTTTGGTGTACAGTATTCAGGGTGGGCACTGCCCATACAGACCATGCCTACTAGATATGTCTTCATGCTTTCCATAGTTGTTAAATATTAAAGTAGTCTCTTCCTAGCAACTGTATCATTGACTGGTTTAGCAAAACTCTTCTCTCAAATGAATTGGGCTCGATGCAAACACAAGAATGCAATTACAGACCTTTGTTTAAAATCCCCATATGGAATCCTGTTAGGAAATCCTTTCCTGCAGATCCGAATACCTTCCAGGACACCGTTACACCGCAGCTGGTGCAGAACGAGCTTGTGATCCATGAGGCCTGTGACAGAGCAACGTGGGGATGTATTAATGGGTTCAGCATTGGTCAACTCCTCTTTCTGCCCCTTTCTAATCTGTGTTTTATGCATTACCTGGGGTCTTTGTCTCATTGGGGATGATGCAACGCACAAAGTGAGGATGAGTTGTTCGCAAGTTAGACATCAGCTTATTTAGATTTTCCTGTAAAACAGAGATCATTTGCAATCTCTGTATTACTTCAGTTCTCAGTGGGATTTGACTCTGACGAAAATAAAAATTCAGAAGTTTTTCCTTACTCCTCTAGTGAATATTCTACAATTCTGTGTAGGCATCAGCAAAGTAAATGGCTACTGACAGTGGATACAATTGGAGAACTTTCCTCCTGTCTTAAAATGAAAATGTGTCCTTTAGTAGTTCAAGGCTGATCATAAGAGCTCTTAAAAAGCTCTTATATATATGGTCTTTCTTGATCAAAAGAAGTTTTGATCAAATAAATAAATGGATTAATTTCTTGCTTTTAATGGATTAATTTCTTTCTTTTATTACTTAGATATATTAGTTACATATATTTAAAATATAATTGAGCTACAAAATCAATGTTTGTCTATGACATCATAAGTCACCTGTTCTGCAGGGTAGTGCAACTCTTTAATAATCTCATGCAAGAATGACACACTCTGAGTATGGCCCATGTCCCAGCTAGGGGATGATGCACTCCTCATCCTGCCAGGAAGGGACCAGCCTGTTCCTGGCCTCAGGTGTTGATGCATGACAGCAGCATCAGGGCTGCAACACATAACTTGTGTTGCCCACACTTTCTGCAAGGCACTGGCTGCCACACAATGTTCTCAGAGGGACACATGCTGGAAGAAGCCAGTGACAGCCAAAGAAGGGAAGGATGTTGGTAGCACCAAAGAGCAAAGCCAAGACAGCTACCCGTGCTGACAAAGCACATCATCTCCCTTCTCCACCACCATCCCACTGGACCTCAGCAGCAAAGCAGAACTCAACCTTTGCCATATCCCAAAGGTAACTTGCCACAGAGTGGCCACAGAGAAAGTGGGGCTGATGATCCTGTGCAGCCAGGGGTGACAGCACTGCCCTCCCAGCAGAGAACACACCTACCCGAAAGAGCACAGATACAGTCTGGAAGGAAGAGCCCTTTTTCTTGGTTTCTTTCTTCTTTCCACCACCTTCAGCTGGAAAATGAGATGACAGCCCAGCTGCAGATCCCTTTCACAGGGTTATAGTTGTGTGTCTAACACACGGCACGTGAGCACTGGCTCAACAGTGACTCGTGTCACATGACAGGTACAGTAGGAACAAGCATAATCCTCTGATCTTACCTTCATCTACGGAAGAAAAGGCAGCATAAAGATGGCATAAAACCTTCACAGATGATTTCTGGTACAGCCCAATGACAGTTTCGTTCAGGGGGTCCTTGTTCTTCTCCAGCCACCCAGTGATGTTGTAGTCCACTGTGCCAGCGTAGTGCACCAGGGAGAAGTGGGCCTCAGCCTTGCCTTTGGTAGGTTTGGGCTTCTGGAAGTTGCTGGACTTGCCCAGGTGCTGGTCATAGAGCTTGTTCTTGAAAGAGGTGTCAGTTGCCTTGGGGAACATGCACTCCTCTTCCAGGATGGAAAAGATGCCCATGGGCTGAATAGAAAAAGGGTGTTTTCAAATAAGATAAATTCAAGTTATAATAATACAGAGTGAAAGAAATGCTCAAATTAAAGTATGGACGTATTTTATAGAGAATTAGTCTGAGAGGAGCAAGCAAGCAAGATCTGTTGTGAACAGCTGGCAAGATATTCAAAAGCACTCAAAAGATTTTCATAAATAGTTTTGAACTACACAGACAGTGTAGAAGAAGCCAAGCAAAAACTGTGTAGTAACTTCTTAGAATATAGTAGTGACTTCTCCTTACCCAGAAGGAACAAAAAGCAAGCAGACATCAGGCTTTGAATTTGAGAGGGAAACCTGAGCAGGAACCAATATGCAGAGGACAACTGGGGTAAATATGGCAAAGAAAAATGACAATTTATAATGAGAAAGAGAAGAAGGAAGGAAGGAAGGGAAAGCAAGAAAAAAAAATTAAAAAAAGAAAGAAAGAAAGCAAGAAAGAAAGAAAAAAAGAAAGAAAGAAAGAAAAAGAGAGAAAGAAAGAAAAGAAAGAGTAGTGTCTTTTTAGAAGACAGAATACATTCGCAGTCAGCAGATAATTAATCACAAAGGTGATGTTTAAAGGAACAGAGGAGGTGAGGAGACCTGAAAGCTTCACAGGGAGACTGCATTGAAGGCACTCAATGCAAACACTCTCAAGAATCCCTTCCAGATCCAATTTGTGTGAGTGCCAAAGATGCTTAAGAAACTCACCTTTTCTATAAGCTCAATGCAGGCAGCCAGGTCCATCCCAAAGTCAATGAACTCCCACTCAATTCCCTCCTTCTTGTACTCCTCCTGCTCCAGCATGAACATGTGGTGGTTGAAGAACTGTTGCAATTTCTCGTTGGTGAAGTTGATGCACAACTGCTCAAAGCTGTTGAACTAATGTTTGAGTAAGTGTGTTAGTAATGTTAAACTGCCTCCAATCAATTTATTTCACAGAGATGTCATAGCAAAGTCAGCCAGGCTGTCTCAGAAGGGTTTTGATAACAGTGTAAAGAATACACCATGGGTAGTCCAGGCTTACAGAGAAGTTGTGTTGTGCAGCACATGGTTGCTGGAGCCTGCACTGGCCATGTTTTTGGAGAGCCCCAATGTCACTAAATGCAGATTCTGTGGGGAGGGGGACAGTAGATTCATGGCTATGCTTCTGCCATGTCTCTTCTCTTACAAAATAGGTGATGGATCTACAAAGGCAGAAGCAGCTTCAGAGAGATTTGCCCTGTTTTTGAGGGCTGCACTGGGGTGAGGAGGAGGAAAGGTCATAGAAGTAAAAAAAATGAAAAGGAATTTAAAGACAGCCAGAAGTCTGAGAGTGCTGTATAAAATCAAACCTCAAAGATCTCAAACCCAGCGATGTCTAAGACCCCAATAAAGTGCTGCCTTGGCAGCTTCGTGTCCAGCTGTTGGTTGATGCGCATCACCATCCACAGGAAGAGTTTCTCATAGACTGACTTGGCAATGGCATTCACTGCCTGGTGCACCTGCAGGGAGATAGTTCACACACCTCTGTCAGGGCACTGCCAGGGCCTCACCAGAATAAACCACCCCTCAGCATGCCCAGCTACACAGCCCACACAGTGCACTAACAGCCCTTAATGGTCCTGACCAGCTCAGCTGTGACCTGCACCCATTCCTTCCCTTAGGCAAAGGATGGTCCCTGCTGCTCCTTGACACTCACCTGATCCACTGTTTGGCCCTTCAAGACATATTCATTTCCCACTTTCACACGAGGATAGCACAAAGCTTTCAGCAAGTCTGCTGAGTTCAGGCCCATCAGATATGCTGCTTTGTCAGCCTCTGGAAAACAAAATCATAAGCTGAAATACTTTCTTAGCTTGGACCTACAGAGTGCATTGGAACCAGCCAGAGCTCACTCCGAAACCTGCAATGTGAGTGGCTTTAGCCCATCCCCAAAGCTTGACTAACATTCTCATTTAGTCTTCTGAACAGCCTTGTAGAGCTGCTCCTCGTGATGGAGTGGCTACGGCAGCCCCAGCTGGTGTGGTGGAACCTGTGAGGGCATTGGTAATGGGACAAGAGTGGTTTTCCCCTTAGAGCCACTTCTTCACAATGTCACCCAAGCAGCCCAAGTCTGGATGTGGGACTAGAAACTTGTGAACACTACAGTAATAATATGTCCTAGGCACAAGGTTCTTCAGCGGAGTCATCAGGAATAAAGTGGATGCAGAAAGTGACTCTGCTGGAGCTGGTAAGCTGAAAGCCAAACTTTTTTTTTTTGTGGTCATTATGGAACAACTGCATGTCTCCTGGAAAACTCTTACCATTTCTAGTGAAAAATGGTATGGAAACCAGTTGGAAACAGTTCTCTCACAGCCATGAAGGTATTACCTTCTGTGCCATCTGGCTCTGCTTGGTCCTCACGTGGTTTCTGCTTGAACTTCATGTTTCCGTAGTGCAGGATTGCCCCTGTCAGCTTGTAAATCCCCATTCTCTCATCAGGGCTGAAGCCCAAAATGCCAATGGCTGCCTGCAGACCAGACAGATCAGCTGGTTATAGCAGTGGTGAGAGTAAGAGTGAGACTGTCTCTTCTCATTAACTGTACCCACATCTGTGGCAACAAGCTCCTCCTGGTCATCAATGCTGGGCACAGAGATCTGCCCTTGGCTGATGAAGGGGTAGTCATATGGGTTGGCAGTGATGAGAAGCATCTCTGAAAGGCAAACACAGGAGTGAGAGCCAGAGCTTAGCAGGGAAGATGGAACAATGGCTCAGCAAGATGTCACAAGCTCTCCTTCCTTTTTCATCCCAAACTCTTGGTTTTCTATTAAGAGACAAGGAAGACAGAGGAAAGCCATTCACCCCTGTACCTCACCTGCACACAGTTTGTATTAGAACTTACCCAGGGAGAATAAATGGGAGGTGGAGTAACCCTGAGTGTGTCCCTGTCACATGGAGACACCAGTGCTGTGCACAGCAGGTATCCCTGGCCTGGCCAACACTGTGATGTCAGGGATGTAAATAAGCATGACCAAAGTGTCCCTGCTCTGCACAGCCTGAGGCACTGCCAAAGGGGGACCTGGGGACGTGTGACACATGGCACCAGCTGCCACTGGACCCTCCATCACTGAGCTGGCATGTTGAGGGGAAATGTTTCCCACAGTGACTTTACTCAATGTCACCAGGTGATAGTTGTCCTTACCAAGCAGTTCAGGCTTCTTATTGGAGAGGATCTGGTAGAAGATATGGTAGCTTCTCTCAGCTTTCAGCTGAAAAGTGACTCTTGACTTTTCCAGCAGGTCTGTAATATGTATGCATAGAAATTTTTCAGGCTCTTTGCCTTCTAGCAGAGCAGTCAGCCCCCCTCAGTCACTCACAGGTCTCAATGTCACCGGATGCCAGTTTTCCAGAGGTTCCAAAATGGATACGAATGAATTTACCCTGGCAAGCAGACAAAAGATAGTGGTCAGTGCAGCAATCTCTGTTTTTCTCTCTTGAGTCTCAGTGGCACCTCCAAATCAGTCTGAATTAGCTTAGAAATCCAAATCTAGATAATGGGGAACAGTTTGCTGCAGCCCACACACAGCTGTGAGCATGAAACAGCTGCAAACATGTCAGCATCTCACAACCAACCATGAAAATTGGTCAACAAGAACATTTTTCCTAGCCCAGGGGCTCCCAGTTGCAACTAACAAGCAGGTAAAGAGCATTAGAAATGCAGGAGGGCAGAGACAGACACAGGATGACTCACAAAGCGTGAGGAGTTGTCATTTCTCATCGTCTTGGCATTCCCAAAGGCCTCCAGCAGTGGGTTGGCGCTGAGGATTTGATCCCTGAGCGTACCCTGCAGGAATAATTGAATAATTATTGAAAAACACCATGAGCTTTGTGGCAGGAAGAAGTGACTCTATGGCATGATTGTATGTGCAGCCATGTGCCCTTCATTTCAGCTGTGCAGTGCTACTGCAGCACCTTCTCGACTCCAGCACCAAGAACCAGCACCGGGGGTAAATAGTGAATGAGTCATTTGCCTCTTATTCAGAATTTCTCTCATTGTCAGAGTTCTCAGGTCTCAGTCACAGGGACAGACTGATCCATGTGAGGAAACCTCTGATTCTTCCTGGACACCAATCCCACAGACCTGGTTTCAGTCCAGGTAAAGCTACACCTGTGCAGTGTCAGTGGCAGCTCCAGTGGTTTGTATTTGTTGTGGTCGTACCTGCACATCAGCCCCTGGTCCTGCTGCCTTTTGAGAGAGTGACTGAAGCTAATAAAAGATATCTTGAGGGAAATGTTTGTCACCAGTGCTGTCCACAGCCACAAGTGGACATCCTGAACTGCCCCTTGCCAACCCCTCCTCCTCACACCTTCATCCCAGACTCCTTCATGGCTGGGTCCCCGCTGGCTGCAATGGTTGCATAGTATTGGATGACACGTTTTGTGTTCACAGTCTTCCCGGCACCAGATTCCCCACTGTTGAAAGAGAGCACAGAGTGAAGAAAAATCCAGCCCCTTTTTGCTGGACACAAAGCCCAAAGTGACGGATGTACTTACGTGATCAGGATAGACTGGTTTTCACAATCTGTCAAAGGGAAAAATACCTGCAGTCAGAGAAGCTGTAGGGAAAAGTGCTGGTTCTCAGGCAACTGTGACCTGGTGTCCATCAGAGGGAATGAAACAAAATCTCTGCAGGCAAAACTGAAAAGTTGCGTGGTCTTCTCTCCTCCTCTCTTCCCCTCCCTATACTCTACTTTTTGTCTTCTCTCCTCCACCATTGCTGCAGTCTTTCTTGCTTCTGTCTTCACTATTTCTAATTTTATTGATATTTAATATAGGACAGGACTTTATTCAAACTAAACCCATGTATTTTGGTGAAAATATTTCTACCAGCTCTGTTCTGAATCTACCTGCTGTTGCTTGAAGCCACGTTCAGGTGTGCTGACTAGGGATTTCCCAGGTAGTGTATCCTATCCAACTGCAACTGCCCATTGCAGAGGTCCCTGTTATGGTCCTTAGCTTAGTACTTAGACCAGGAATGCAGATAAATGTGCAGCACAACAGCAGATGCTTCAAAAATAAAAAAAAATTTCAGGAGACAGGGAAAGCTGTCTGGGGCAGGTTTTGCATCATTCAGAGCTAAAATAGTTGCACAGTAATTAGGAGACTAAGCAGATAACCTACACCATGACCCAGACCAAGGAGCTGGGGTAGCACCCTGCAAAGGTGACTAAGCCCATGGCAGGAGTGGAATGGCACTTGGCAGAACTGCATTTCTGACACAGTTTTTTCTATGAACCTGGTCAAAATAGAGAAACTCACCAGTCAGCATGAACTGATAGGCGTTGTCAGAGATGGAGAAGATGTGTGGAGGGGCCTCCTGGCGCTTCTTGCCTCGGTAGGCCAACACCACCTCCGGGTTGTACACGGGCAGCCACTTGTAGGGGTTGACAGTGACGCAGAAGAGACCCGAGTAGGTCTGCAGGAAAAAAAATGGAACAGAAGAGTCACTGAAGTCCAGCTCCTGTGGCTGTACTTTCTCCTTTGCCAGAAGAGGGAACTTACATAGATCATCCAGGAGCTGTAGCGGTCCTTGAGGTTGTAGAGGACGGCAGGTTCATGCAGGTGGGTCAGCATGGCCACATCCTCAGCTCTGTCAAACTTCGGGGGGTTCATGGCATACACATCATCAGGTTTGACAGCAACTGTCTATAATTCAAAAAGAAAGAGTGAACCTTGATTCAGCAACTCTCAACAGTCCTTTCTGAAGTACACACTGAGACACAAACTCAGGGAAGTAAGAACATCTGTAAGGCTGCTCTAATTCTTATTTTTCTTTCTGTTTAACTGTGCAAAACAGGATATGGCTATTTCAGGGCAAACACTGCTGCCAGCCAGGAGCTCTACAATACTGTCAAACTGACACGATGTACATTTACTGTCCTGGAACTGCTACAAGCACAAAGACAGGATTTCTGATGGACCAGATCTTTCCACACATTATTGCTGCTTATGAACTTCAAGTCTTCAGCACAAGATTCATCAATAGCAAATCCTGCTTTGGGACAGACTTGTTCCACTCTTGCCTGTGGCCATTCCTAATTAAAGAATGGCTCTATCTCTTCCAAACAGCACCATCTGCTGAGCTCACACTGTGGGTGACAGCTCCCTCACACAGCCAGGGGCTGTGGAGATGGGGGGGAGGCAGAAGATGTACAGGAAAGCAGATGTTCACAGCTGGTAGCAGCTCATCTCAGCCACTCTGAACCATGAAAGAGCTTGAAAATCCTGCTGTAATTTATTCAGCTGACTTATCCCACTGCTTTTATCCACTGCTGAAATTGTTGCTCCCATGGACTGGTCCAAGCTGACTAGTCCAAGGCAAGGAAGAAAGAGTGTGGAATCATATTTGATTCAGAAAGACTGAACACTATTTCTTACCTCAAGTCCTGACTAGTGGAATGGTCGTGGACTCCTTTGAGAAAGCAAGAATTATAGGCCCAGTTTTCAAAAGCAGCTTTGTGATATGTATCCCTAAATACCTTTCTAAAGCATTCAAACACCTGAGCAATTAGGACTCGCAGGAAGTCTCCATATAGAACAAGAGATTGTGCATTAACTGCTCCTCACAGAACATACCTGGAGTCACTACTAACACAATGGCAGCTCAGTGCTCAGGAGAGGGCAGGAAGCTCTAAAATATTGGGAATAGTTAGAAAAGAAAGGGAGAAAAGAAGGGAGTGTTATGTAGGATGCATCCATCAGTTCATCCACACCTTCATTACTGATCACACCTCTTAGAAGGGATAGAATTGTACTAGAAATGCTCCAGAGAAGAGAAACAAAGATGGTCACACATATGAAATAGCTTTTCTATGAAGAGAGTACAACTTGAGAGTTTGGTGGTGAAAAGGAGACACTTTCAAAGTTTGGAAAGTCAGGAACAGCAGAGAGAACCACGGCCATAGCAAGGAAGAATTATTCTCTTCTACTCCTTGTGAAAGAAAAAATAATGCTGCATATAGCAGAGAAAAGGAAGGACTTTACACTTAATCCAATTTTAAAAGTGTGGAAATCCTTCCCACAGGCCACTACAGGAGCAAAAAGTCCAAATGGACATAAAATAGTCAGGTCCTAGGAAAGCAGGACCTTGTGCATCTCAGCCTGGTGCAGCCTCAGTCACTTCCCTGAGACTGCTGTGGATCACTGCTTACCCTTTACTTGCTTTCTAAAACTCTTGTAGCACCTACTGCCAAGATGTTGGTTGAGGTGGTTCTTTGAGCCTCTGCAGTTATTGTTACAAAAGTTGTCAGGACATGAGCTGCTATGACATTTCAGCGTTTTTGGAAGAGTAACACCTTGGAGGCTCCTCTGGGAAACTGCAGCCAGTGACACTGACAATATCACATTCAGAGGGGACTTTCAGATTATCTGTCTGCTCTGCTACCAGTAAAGGAAAGAATTTATCAGTGGATGTGACAGTGTTAACTGAAAAAGTGTTAAAAGCAGTGGTCAAAGAATGCCAAGACTGGCAAGGCAATGACCTAACCTGGTTTAGAGCATTGCCTGCTCTTTAAAGCCCAAACTAAGAATCCAATGAATGACTGTATCCCAGCATCCAGAGCTATGCTTTTCTTTGGAGGTTGTGCTGGTCCCAGTCAGAGGGCAGAGCAGGGCAGATTTCCTGTCTGAGCTACTCTGGTGCTTCCCCCATTCCTTGCCCTCCCCAGTGATGCCCTGGGTCCCTCAGCAGGGCCAGGAGAAATGCACTTACTCTGCCATCCTCTGTCTCCACAGTTATCTTCCCATCCTGTGCAGCCTTGATCTTCCCTTTGGTGTACTCCACCTCAGGGTCAGCCACAAAGCAGTAGGTCTTGGCATCAAATGGCTGGTTCTGGGCTTCTATTCTCTCCTTCTCTGACTTGCGCAGGTACGGTGCAGCCTCACCAAAAACCTCCATGGCAGCATCTCTGCTCATGGCTGGAGCTGAAAGACACACTCTGTGCTGGTCCCCTGGGCAGTCCTTAGAGCAGAGTGAAGCTGAACATCCACAGCCCTTCCCAGCTGCCTGCTCTGAGCTCACCCCTCCCAGCCCTTACCTGCTGCAGGTCTTCAGGGAGATGTTTGCCTTTCAAAGCTGGAATATACAAACCTAGTGAAAAGGAGCTGCCACCCTTTATGGCCCCAGGGAAAGGAGATCCATGCCCAAAGGAGCAGGATGGCTCCCAGTGGAAGTGTGGCAAAGGGGAGGGATCTCTAAAGGATTACCATAGTCCTTAGAAAAAGTGAAGCCCTAAAGACTGTCTTTTTCCTGGTTTTTCATTTATGACTTCCCCCACTCCCTATTAACATGGAGCCTGTCCTAGTCCTCTGGTGGGCAGCCACAGTGGGCAGGAAGGGACACGAGCAGCTCATGTAGGAGGAAGAACAGGGACCTGTCCACGGTGAGTGCAAGGGGAAAATCAGCTCATGCCAGCCTGGGCAAGATATTAGTGTTCATGCCTTAAATTCTCACCTTAACAATCAGTCAACAGAAAGCAGGAAGGAACAGGCTGACATCTCAGATCTCTGCAAGAGAAAGAGTGGAAGGTCAGACTTCACCAAAGCTACAGCCTCTCCAAAGGCCCAACACCAACTGCACCTGTTGAGGGTCAGCACAATTCACCAGAGACCCGCCCTTCCCTGCCCAAGGAATGGCCCAGCAGGGAATCCACAGCAGAATTCCCACTGCAGCACTACAGCCTTGTGAAGCTCCAAGTACAGGGAACAGGACCTGTGCCAGGAGCCCTCTGCCACTCTGCAGGTCAGTCACAGCATGGCCATGAGCATGGCCAGGACATCAGGAGCCACCAAGAGCTTTCTCCCCGATTGCTTTTATAGGCTCAGCTTGGTCCTCTTGGTTCAGCCCCTTCCCTATATTTGGAAGGAAGGGATCGACACTCCTGCCTGCTCACAATTCGTGTTCGTTTTCTGCCATATACAGTGTGTAAGGAAAGGAGCTGCTCTTTTTCCAATTTTGGTAACTCTGGGACCTATCTGTGGTTTGCAGACTTTTTTTGTGAGAATTTCCTCTCCTGGGCACATGCTCTCCTGCCAGCCATGACCATGGCCAGCACTTCCTTCCACTCTCACTCACATGTCAAAGAAACAATAGTGCAGGAGGGACCTGCCTCCCTGCTCCTGCTCACAGGATGCCTGGGCAGAGCTGCACAGTGGTGAGGGAGCCCAAAGCAGCCCTGTGTGGGGTGGAGAGCAAGGCCATGGAAAGGAAAAAAGGTGATAGGATCAGTTATGGCAACTCTTGTGGCTTCCCATCACTGCATGGGTCAGGGGGGATGGGATGAGAGGCCATGACTGAAATATGATGTGATAAACCATGGCAAAATAGAGACTAATCAGAAAGAACAACACCCAAATCTAGCCAGAGGTGGACACTTCATGAATGCCAAACCATGAATATGGTACAGAAATGTAGCTCCAAATACAATTTTGGCTGCCCAGGATGTTCACTGCCCTTGCTGCCAAAAAGAGCTGCAGAAGCCTCGTCACATTGTTCTAAAGAAGGTTCTTAGACATGGATGATTGCAATTCCCATGTGAGAAGCCACAAAACCACTGGGCACTACCCTCTTTGCCAGCCTGCTAGGACAGTAACAGCTCTGCTCAGTCCTGAGCACCAGTGACCCAGAGCAGCACTTTCACCTGAACCCCTGGGGCTGCAAGCTTGGCTGTGCCTGGGGAAGGCAGAGCTGTGTTTAGGAGAAACAGGCTGAGCAAGGACACACTGCACCTCTGCATCTCTGACTTGGGCAGCTCAGGCAGTAAGGCCTGGCCATAGACTCAGTCATTCCTCTCCCTTCCCCAGACCAAGGCTGTGCCACAGGCTTCTCGGACCACGCTGCCAAAACACCCTTGAATCCACGTGTGTGCCCTGAAAAGCACAGGAAAACAGTGGGAATTAGCATGAAAAAAAATACAACTGCAGCAAAATTCCCCAACTCTGCAGGAGAGGCTGGGGGACAGGCAGGACTTGGAGCTGAGCTCTCCCATCTCAGGGCAGCACAGCCAGGCTGCTGCTGGGGTACTGCCTTCCTGGCCTAAAACCCTGTGATCCCAGGTGCACATTTCCAGTGAGATCAAGCCTTCACTGACTTTTGCAAAACCAGCAAAGTTGACTCAAAAACTCTTGAAAAGCAGGTATGAGTTCCCTGGGGCCAGAGTGGGCTTTGAAGGGAGCTCTCCCAGTCCCAAACACAGTTTGGTTGGTACAGAGCAGCCAGGCAATGACTGGCAGGAGCAGTGGGAGCCTTCATGCACAGATGGAGTGAGCTCCTGGTGCAGGAGAGGAAGGATTTCAGTTCTGGTCATCTTCTGTCACTGCTCAGTAAGCCCCATTTTCTCTCTGTTCTACATGGATGCTCATCCAAGGCTGCAGCACCAGCTTTCCCTCAGCAGAATGAAGCCTACAGGACTTGTGTGAAGCCAGAAGCCCACTCTAAATAGCTCCTGCCACCTCCCAAAGCACCACTCCGAGCTGGAGCACCCTGGGACACCTGCAGCTGCTGCTGCAGCACAGGGGACATCACCTTGTCTTTAGGTCAGAGTGGCTGACCCTGCTTGTGTTTGCCCAACAAGAACTGACCTTGTGGGCTTGCAGCAGAGTCAGTCACCAGCGTTTTGAAAAACATGTTCCATGTTGCCTGTAATTTCATTTAAGGTCACTAAAAATGGACACCACAGCCACATACCTCATGAACTATGAATTCCTGAAATCCCCCTAAGCCTGGAGGATGAGGGAAAAGCTTTTTTTAGCCCTCATCCCTTGTGATCAGCCCTTTGAACTCAGCACAGTGGATGTACTGAGAGCAAAAACTGAGACACACCAGACCAATGAGCAGTTTGGGACTTTTTCCTGATACTGAATTGCCAGTGTGATTAAGATACGGCATTTCCTGCTCCCAGGCATGCCCAAAGCAAGGGGGCTGGACCCCACCCACAGAATCATTAAGGTTGGAAAAGACCTCCAAGACCATTGAGTCCAACCCGATGCCCACCTTGTCCCCCAGCCCAGAGCACTGAGTGCCACGGTCAGGCCTTCCTGGGACACCTCCAGGGGTGGGGACTCCACCACCTCCATGGGCAGCCCCTGCCAAGGCCTGACCACCCTTTCTAGGAAGAAATTCCTCCTGACGTCCAACCTGAACCTCCCCTGGTGCAACTTAAGTCCATGTCCTCTCGTCCTGTCCCTTGTTTCAGGGAGCAGAGACCGACCCCCTCCAGCTCCCCCCTCCTGTGCCCCTGGAAGCCCCCCTGAACCTCCCTGTGTCCAGGCTGAGCCCCCTCAGCTCCCTCAGCTGTTCTTTGTGCTCTAGACCCTTCCGCAGCTCCATTCCTTTCTCTGGACACATTCCAGCCCCTCAATATCTTTCTTGTCGTGAGGGGTCCAGAACTGGACACAAGCTTTGAGATGCCTCAGCAGTGCCCAGCACAGGAACAGGCACTGCCCTGGTCCTGCTGCCACACCATGGCTAGTACAAGCCCGGATGTCACTGGCCTTCTTGGCCACCTGGGCACACGGTGGTGTGCCAACTCCCCACACCCAGCTGAGGAAGCAAAGAGCACCCACAGGCAATGAGAGCCACTCTCCCAGTTTTCCCTGGCTGGTTCAGGTGCCCAGGTGGGAGCAGAGTGCAGTAAAACAGCTGGCACTGAGTAATGCCCCGTGGGGAGCCCCTGCTGCCAGCTCGTCACAGGCGTGTGCTGAGCCCTGCACCGACAACATCCCGGCCTGCCTCAGATCTCCAACTCAGGGCCATCCAGTATATCCACAAGCTGCAGTATCATTTCATGTTCTCCCCAGCCTAGCATGGGTTAGTAGCTGAAAAAAATACACATTAATTACTTTCAGATCTCTAATTCTGATCCATGAACTACACAACCAGCTACCACAGCATTGCTATTCCATGCCTGCTGTTGGAAAGGCCCCACTTTGCATTACAGCAGTCACACTCTGATTTCACACTGTTCCCCATCATGATATGAAAACATCTGTCAAGATAATAGTTGCTGTAAAATCTTAACAGAAGGTAGCCTGGAGCAAGGGCTGAGATACAAAACCATGCCTGTCACACTGCAAAGCAGGGAGGTCAGGAGACTTGGGGAGCACGGGTGAATCTGCACATCTCAATTTTTTTTTTCTTTGGTGTTAAGAACATGCATTAGATTTTCCTGTCTCAAGAAATGAGTGTACAAACCTTTCTATGCCTGGACTTGCCTGTGCTTCAGAGCCCCTGAATGACTGACAAGCTGTATGATTTGGGATGACAGCTTCATGCAATTGAAAATCAAAGTCCCATTATAGATATAAAACTTAAGTCTCCCTTATAAATGACAGTAGGAGTTGAATGAGTGGGACACTGCAGATGTTTCAAGCCAATCAAGAAAGTTCCAAAATTTCAGCAAGCTGAAGAAAGATTACTGTTGTTATTCTATGTGTCTGGAGTTTTCCACAGAGCAACTACTTTAGAAACTCTCTGTATTTCCCTCTGGTAAGGTAGCTGGTCTTCCCACTCTGCAGGGGAGATCATAAAGATTTGTCTCTTCTACAGGGAAGAGGCTGGATCAGACTCAAAGCAGGCTGTGACACTTGGGTTCCAGCTTCTGAGTACAGGATTTCAGGAGGACATCCAGTCCCCAAGGGCTTGACATGAAGCTCCTTGTGCTGTGCAAGGGATTGTTAAGCACCCCAGAGGGACAAATCACAAACTCTTCTAAAAAAGGGGGGATCTGCTTAGCCTGAGCTGAGTGACTTTGCTAAGCACCAAAGTGGGGATGGACCACACTTCCACACTTTGGAGTGACCGGGCTGGCTCCAGTCACTCCCAGTAGGACCAGCAGCCAGGAAACAGGAGATCCAAAATCAAACCTTTTCTTAGCCTTGGGATTTTCAACTGATGTCTCTCACCTCCCCAGAAGTGGAGACAGATGTTAAGAGTCAGTGTCAGAAGCACGGGCA